CACAAAACATCAAGAAAAAAACTCAAATAGCTATGTATGAAATGCAACACAATTACAAAGCACATACTCCCCTTCAGTGCATGATATGCAATACAAGTGTAACATCACTACTGCAAACAAGTGTTAAAGCAGTATGAAACGTATCTATGTCTCTCCCCAATGATCCCTCAAGACATATGACATAACAATAATGACCAATGCAAATGTAAATCAAGTCAAACGTCAACATGTATCTATGTCTCTCCCCAACGACCCCTCAAAAGACATATGACATATGTAAAAGATCAAACCAAGTTTAAAGCATAATATGTCTATATAGTGTCTATGTCTCACCCTATCGACCCCTAAAAAGACATACGATATGTGTCAATACATACGATATGTGTCCATATGTATCAAGCTGCTCTAAACAAATGAATGTGTATGATTAGATATCCCCCTTACTATAAAATCATCTCCCTCTTTTTGTCACAAATGTCGAAAGGGAGCAAAATCACACAATAATAATCAAATGGAAGCCAAGAATAGAACATATCAAGCAAGAAAAAAATAGATTTTATATATCAATGAACTAGACAATTGTTTAAAAGATATGGACAATACATCATAAGTAAGCCTAATGTCTAGTCAATTGTCAAAAAGTGCAAAATCTACAAAGAAGATCCATATACTATGTCGCGGGAACATCATCTTCACCAGAGGCATCAGTAGCAACACTCTCATAGTCCTAGTGTGCATGCATCCAGCACAAGCAACGCTGAACATCCGCAACCTCCCCACGCAAGGCAGTGCCTCTGCAAGTAGCCGAGCCTGCTGGCTAATCATAGTAGAAATCTGGCCCATCAAGGCGGTCCTAGGATTAACAACCGAAGAAGCAGGAAGGACGGAAGACGACGAAGATGGAGGAACGTCAGAAGTGGATGGAGCCTCACAAGGTGGAATAGATAACGGATCAGCAGAAAGAAGATCACCAATAGGGTTAGTTGGCATTACAGGATCAGTAGGCGCAGCCTGAGTAGAAGATAAAGTAACATGTGATTGACTCTGTAAAACAGTGGTATGACCAATTGGTCGACCAATCCGACATGAAGAATCCTCGGGAAAAACAACACTAAGGGCGGTGACCAACCGATGAATAAGGCAAGCATAAGGAAGACCTATCCTACGACCAGGGACTTTGAAAGTACGAAGAATATGCTGGCATAG